TTAGCCATTGTATGTTTAGAACTATTTAACCGTCCTCTGTTGGTAACTGTCTAAGCACTTTCCAGTTTTCCTCTATCATAAATACCACTAAAATGAGCATCTTCATTGTTCTATCTTTGCTAATATAATTACTACATAATTTAGGAATGTCTGTTGATTTTAGGAATGACTCTGCTTAAGGAGAACTAGAAAGGAGAAACTACAAAGGCAGAAACTAGAAAAGCACAGCTATTACTATAAACCAGCAACCTAGATTGGTATTTTTTCAGCCATAACCATAGAAAGATTATCTACATCAGATGCACATTGATAGTTCAAAGGACACCAAAAATATTTGAATATGAAATATTTATAAATTCTTGCTCAAGATTGAATAAATGTTCTTGTATTTTGGAATTTGATTTCTGATAACCTTAATTATTACTAGGAACAGATGACCAGTTTCAAGAACTGTCACCATTTTAACATTCTACATGAACTGGCCAGGATGGATTTCTGGCACCTGAGCATTCACATCCATCTGTTTATAGGGCACTATGCCCATTCATGAGATTTATGCCAGTTTCAAAAAGTCATGTGTAAATCAAGATAGGCAATGTATATATTTTTTTTAATTAAAAAAAATTTTTTTTTGGCTGCATTGGGTCTTTGTTGCTGCGCACGGGCTTTCTCTAGTGGTGAGCAGGGGCTACTCTTGGTTGTGGTGTGTGGGCTTCTCTTATTGCGGAGCATGGGCTCTAGGTGCGCAGGCTTCAGTAGTTGCAGCGTGCAGTCTCAGTAGTTGCAGCATGCGGACTCTAGAGCACACAGGCTTCAGTTGTTGGGGCGTGTGGGCTCAGTAGTTGCGGTGCGTAGGCTCTAGGGTGCGCGGGCTTTGGTAGTTGTGGTGCACGGGCTAAATAGTTGTGGCTTGGGGGCTCTAGAGCGCAGGTTCAGTAGTTGTGGTACATGGGCTTAGTTGCTCCGTGGCATGTGGGATCTTCCTGGACCAGGGATATAACCCGTGTCTCCTTCATCAGCAGGTGGATTCTTAACCACTGCGCCACCAGGGAAGTCCTGGCAATGTATATTTTTGAGATGTAAATCATCTATTGTTTAATCTCTTCGAGTTATGTTTTTAGAAAGAATTTAGCCACTTACTGATTTGAGATAACTTTAATTAGGCATGTGTAGAAAGCAAAATATAAGCAAAAATTTAACTTTGCTAAGTAATACTAGGCTTCTTCAGCATGAAAAAGTTGAAATTAGAAAAAGCATTTTAACAAATCCCTGAAAGAAGTTTTGAATATACTATTTGAGGGAGAGAAACTAACATTTATTTGGTACATGTTATGTGCAAGGTGCTTTTACATAATTTGTTTATATAACTCTCATAATAATCCTGTGGAATAGGGATCATTACCCCTATTTTGCAGATAAGAAACTGAAAGAAATGACCTACCTAAGATCACACATAGGAAATACCAAGATCATTTCAAGCCAGTTCTGACTCCTAAACTCATGTTTTCTCAGCTCTACACCCTATGTAAATGGTTGGAATCTAAATATTAGGGCAAATTTACAAATCTGTGATGTTGATTGAAGATGGTTTTTAGAAGTTAAAAAAATAACCAAACAACCAAATTATTGCTTTACTCTTAAAACTCAACTAAATATTCCAAGGTAAGTATGAGGTTGTAAATTAGCTCTCATTATCAGGAGGGCAATACCAAACGACAATTAGTTATTTTTGCTGTTAAGAGAATACTTAGACAAAATATTTAAGAGAAAAAAATAATCTGATGATCTGTTTGCTTGTCTGTAGATCAATGATTTCCAAACTTAAAAAAAAAAAATTTAGAATAGCTATTTCTCTTCCGCAAACTAAAGCTATGTAAAACAAATGAGAAGGGTTGAAGCAAGGGTGCAAGTGGGAGGTAGAGGCTGTTTGCTCCCTGCCCATTTTCCTCTCCCATTTCCCCTTGTAACCTCTAATGGAATACTTATAAATCACAGGACTTAGAATGACATTTAAAGCCCATGTTGTGGCTGGAACACTTGGTTAATTGGCTTACTTTTTCAATATTTAACTGATTTATTTTAGTTATCTACTGATCACAATAAAAATGTGACTTGAAAGTGATGGAAAATTTCCTGCAGCAATGGCTAAGAACTTTTTATTTTATACAAAAGTTTCTTTCTTTATTTCTCCCAGTCAGAATCAACTAATTCATCTTTGAAATGTTTTTTGAATCTCAACTGAATGCTAGACACTAAGCTGGTTCCTACCTTCAGGAAGCTTAGATTCTATTTGAGAGAGACAGATAATAAAGAAGTGAAAAAAAATCAATTTGTGCCGTAAAGAAAATACATACTTTTAATAAAGAATGGTTATGGTCTATTGGACTACTTTATTTTTGTCTTATTGGTAAAAGTTATTTGTATTGGGTTGAATGTGTTCCCCAGAAGTTAATATGATATAGAAAAATGAGCATTGAAGTTGTCAAAAATTTGGGGTTCTGTTGCCTGCTCTGCAATTTACCAGCTCACTTCAATCACCGAATCTTTCTGAGTCAGTATAAAAACATTTGCCATGCCTGTGGGATTGGTGTGAAGATCAAATATGAAATAAGCTAATATATATTAGAGTGCTTTGTAAAGTCTCATATATACTTGCCATATATATATATATATATATATAAACTTTACAATCACACTTCTATAAAACATAATGGGTATATATAAAATCGAATATTTGGACCATCTGATGTAATAGGAAGTCATAGGAAAATTGTTTTTGAAGAAGTTTTAATAACCCAGACTGCTAATTACCTGGTTCAAGTTTGTCAGATCTCTACATGAACTGGTTTGGGAAAACGTAACAACTATTTGCTTTTTTATTTTCTTTGATCTTGTTTTTATAATTTACCTCTCCTCAGTTCTAAATTTTTTACTTTTAGCTCTTTCCTTAGAATTTCTTACATGTCACATATCTTTGTCTAGGGATTCTCCTTTAACAAGAATTATCTAAATGCCATGTTAAAGCGTAAAGAATTTATTAGAAAGAAAAATGTGGAAGGCTTTTCTCACCAATAACCACTTACTAATTACTCTATAACCAATGGGAAAAAAGTTGTGGGGAGAGAGTGGGTAGTAATAGCCTTTTCAGCTTTACTTTGGAGTGCCACCTGCTGGTAAATTAGTCCAGTAGTGTTTGGCAAACAAAAATAAGAATTATGTTGGGAGATTAGAACAATCAACTTGTTTTATATAAAGCAGATACTAGTTATTTGAATCATTGTGGGAAATGATTTGATTTAGTAACTGAATAATTCAATTATTAAAGAGATTTTTCTCAAAGCTTTTTTTGGGGGAATTTCTTTATTCTAAATACTGAACTCTAATCAGAAAAACCAAAAATATGTATTGAAAGTCCATTATGTTAGTTCATTAGTCAATTATTATTTAAGTGTTTAAGTATCATACTGTGCTAGAGATGGGATGCAGTGGTAAAAGGAGCAGATAGAATCTCCCTTCATGGAACTTAGAGTTAAGACTAAAAAAGAAATAAAATGACAAACAGATTGCTAAAAGAAGCTATGAATAAAACAAGGAGGAGAAAGAGAGAGAGAGAATATTGGGTAGTCGAGGGAAGCAACTTTGGATGAGACTTTGAGGAAAGGCATTTCTGATAAGACCTTTAAGCACTTGTTCTTTGCTACATTTCCAGAGCTGAACACAATGCCTGGTACATAGTGTTTAGTGAATGTTTGTTGAATAAAAGGATAGATGACACAGTATGATAACCTTGAACAGAGCTGAAACATCATTAGCTTTTCTTTTTGTTCTGGTCATAGGTACATGGGTCAGGCTGGCCTAATGATACAAAAATGTGGTAGGAAAGAGTGCAGAAAAACTGCTGAAAAATGTGTATAGCATAATCTTTTTCCCTTTGAGCTGTGCCAGTTGATAAAATCCAATTCAGGTTCGAAGATTGATGAGAATGGCAACTCAGTTCAAGGCTACTTTCACTTCAGTTTACTGCTAAACTACCAAACAGGCAGTGCTAGGGATACAAATAAGGATACAAATGTGTAGATGCCACTCCCTAATGCCTTCCTTGTACTTCATAAATGCCCAAGTACGGTAACTGAAGCAGCCCATGAGGAATCAGATCAAAGAGTTTCAGAACTGCAGACCTTTGTAACATTAGACTGGGTAAAGGGTCATACTTAAGGATCTATTCCACTACCATAAAAATTTATTTTTACCCTACAGCAATATCTTTATGTTTGTTTCCTGCTGCATCATCTACCTTACACTAGACCTGTAGGCCTACCAAACCTTCAGTAAAGTTAAAGCTAATTGGAGAGCTAAGAGTAAGAAGCAAGCTTACATGGAATAATTAAGTGCTAGCTTATAACTGTAATAAGAATTTAATGAGAAGGAAGGGAAACATCTGTTTGATGACCTAACTCTTGTGAAACTGGCTCCCATTGACAGCCTTTTGCTTTTCATTCAGTAGGCCCAGCTATCGTGCATATCTTTTTTCCACACATAACATATACAAATAACACGTCTACAAATACAATCTATAAGTATTGATAAGTCTCCTTTTTCAATAAGAGAACGCTGAATTTTGGTTGGGTGCATTATGGTCCAGCTAAAAGGCTACATTTCCTAGCCTAGAGCTCTGCTAAGAGTGGCCATATGATGAGTATTTGCCAATGAGATCTAAGAAGTATTGTGTGATATTTACAGAAACTCTTGAAAGGAGGAGTGTGTATCTATTCTTTCCCTTCTTTCATCTTGCTGCTTGGAATACAGTTGTGGTGACTGATGCTCCAAAACTGGTATTGGACCAAGAGTTCAACAGTTATACCTAACGGCTATACCTAAGGCTATATACAGCAGAAAACTGGAAGGATCTTTGTATGGTGTAGAGCTACCATACCAGCCTTGGACTGACTGTCTCTTGACTTTAATGAGCAAGAAAGAAGCATCTGTTTTGTTTATGATATTGCTCTTCAGAGTTACTCTCTGCTGAACTTTATCCTAACCAGTTTGGTGAGTAATGTAGATTTTGTTTTCATGATGGGTGGAGGAGAAGGCAACATTTCACACCACACAGCAAACTTAATCTTTTCATTATACAAGTTCTCTCTCTAGTCTCTTCCCAAATCCAAATTCTTTTTAGACCCTCTCCCCCGACCCGAACCACCTGTAATATATTTTTTTTTCCTTTCTTGGAGTCCCACTTCCATATCTCTTATACTATAATGACACTTGGGTGGGTATTCTGCTTGCTTCGGCCCTTCCTCAGGGGTGTTTTACCTGTGAAGAGGGACAACTATTTTACCTGAGCCTTTGCTCAGTGAATACTTTGAGTATTGTGCAGTCTGTCGTTAGTAACATTAAGATCAACAACAACCCACTTGATTAAGTGCTCACTATGGGCAGTCACTTAATTCTCACAACCCTATAAAGTATTATCCTATTTTACAGAGAGGGTAAGTAATCTGCCTGTGGCAGAAATGGCTAGCTGTCTACCCAGAATTCATGCTCCTCCTCTAGAAATGGAGTTTTCATTGAGAATTTACCATCCATTATAGACTACATACATATTTATAACTGTTGTATCTTCCTAATATATTGATCCTTTATCATTATTGAAGTATCTCTTTTTGTCCCTAGTAACACTCCTTTTCTTTTCTTTTCTTTTTTTTTTTTTTTTTTTTTTTTTTGCGGTACGCGGGCCTCTCACTGTTGTGGCCTCTCCCAGA